ATATAAAGCATATCAACAACCAGACTTTCTGATTGTGCCGTGGAAGAATTGGTACTTCGTTCAGCGCATCGTCTCGTGAGTTCAGTGTTTGTAATAAAATTCCACCATTGCAGTTGGATTCACTGAAAAGCCTTCGGAAGTTGAATGAGTTTGGTGTCAGTCACGTTTGGGATTAGGACACAACAACCGGGATACTTGTGCTGAGGTAAAAAGGACCTGTCCTCCGATTTGTGCAGCGCATTGAATTCCTCTCTGTTCATCTGTATGGGCCTCTGTACATCTACTGAAATTCAGCGCATATTTTCGGCCCGCTGTTTTTATTTTGTTCTATCTTATCTGTGTGCAACATATATCAGCAGATTCTCTTTTCTAAGTAGAAAAAGCAACGAAGAGCAACACCATTTCGGAATTTCACATGGATGCCATTTGCAAATGTACTGCCATGTAACACTTGACCGATATTCAGCCCTGAGAAGTTTACAAATTTTTATCTCCTCAACTGTCTGCGGAGACTTATGCACAAAATTTGATCTTCAGGATGTTTGAAGCCTGCTTGTACTTTGAGACGAACCAGTGGTGGATATCAAAATCAGCAATACTTCCCTCTTTCGGCAATACTTATGTATTTTTTTGCCAGCCATATTTACAAACGTTTTGCCCGAAATTGTATTCCCATGTGTATCAACTTCCCGTCTTTGCTGTGCTTGTACATAGACTAAGGTGCGTATTAACTCTTGTCCCAGGAGTTTTCGGTTGGAAAGGCCTTGGAATCGCTAAAACCCTCCTGTGATGATGCGGCGACCTCGACGGACTTCAAGTCATCGCGTGTGGCTACGCACGACCAGGAGATACAGGTTCCCCAACCTCACTCCTCTGTCTCTGTCTCCACCAGCTGCCTTCTCTGTTGTCATTCGTCGCCTACACTGTCGTCACAGCAAGAGCGGCAACAGGAACCCCAATCTGCCTCCCGACACACCACCGACTGGTAGGTTTTTCTGTTTCCCGTCCTTTTTGAAGTTGTGTGGATACCTGTATGAATTTCTCCTGTCTATAAGTACAAGCTGACGTCTGTGTGCTTGTATAGCCTGTAGTAAGTGTATAGGCGCTTAAGGGTTTTATTTTTTGGGCGGATGTTCTCCTTCCACCCCGCTCAGTGGTCTGGTGATTGGAGTTCCTTCTGACTTGTCTTTTCAATCAAACTAAGCGAACTGCTTGATTTACGTATTTGTAATTCCGTCGAACCGTTCTACAATCTTAAATCAAATGTTTCCTGCTGTATTACAGCATAGCTTTTTTGTTCTAATCCTATTCATTTGATCGGTGTTAACTGCATCACTTCAGTAAATTCCGTAACACCATCTGTCTGAACTATTGACTGTCTTGGTAACGCGCGGAGATCCGAAACCCGGCAGTAATTCTATTCTTGAGAAAAAAACACCCAAGGATTGATCTTACCTGATTGACAGTCGATTTTTTGATTTAAAATTTCCGCATATTTGTTGTCATTAGCTGGATTTTCCGTTGAGACTACGCATCGAATTTTATTTTGCATTAATGTTCATAGTTTAAACATTTACTTTGCAGTGAGAAATGCAAAAATACAAACATTTTTGACTCCAGTGACTTTATTTCACTAATCTTTGTAATTTGCGTATGAAACGAGAGCATCAAGATTCCTTGCCATATATATGCATGTACTATATACTTAATAGTCGTGAATCGAAGCTGCATGGACATAAGTAACACCGAAACTTAATCTTAGCCAAGCGCATGGAATTAGTCCACTAAGTTCGCGCTAAATGCGGCTATTAGCTCTACCGCTTCACCAAAATACTGGCATTCTCGTTTGGTACCTTAGCGTTTGTAATCGCAGTCTTTGAGTGTCAATGGCGTTTGTTTGAAGAGACCGAACCTCCAATCGAGATTATTTTTATTGCTTGGCATTGCAAAGAGGCCTACCAGTAAGGGTTCCTCTATCAACTGGTCTTTTCCAAGGGTAGACGAGCCGTTGTCAAATTGTAGGATGCTCCTTGACTAGTCTGTACCACGTATTATCCGCACTGACCACTGCAGCAAAAATACCTCATCAATGAGTTTTATGGTCTGAGTTCTTTGTTCTCCTTCGTAGTGCCTCCAGCACAAAATAGTGCGAACTAGATAATTTGGTGGAGTGTGTCTATTAGCTAGCCTTAGTCGTAGGATGCTAAAATGCGATTAAGCTTTACTTTTTCATTCCCCACCTCTTTGCCAAGAGATGCTATGTACAACGACGACACCTTATTGTTGGTGCAGATGTGCCAATTCGAAAAAGCTGCCGATTCACCTTTCGGCCGCGTGTAAATGCCACATTGGGCACTCGAAAGGTAGTTTTTTTTGTGATGCATATTTGGCATACAATCCACAAATTTCTACACAATTCAATAATTCATGTTTAACTTGTTTATTTGATATAGTTAGTGCTATTTTTGATTGTTTTTTCGTGAAGGACTGAGGGACGCCGAGTGTGATTCATCCTCGAGGTAACCTTGTTCCTCCTTCGAAGGAGGAAAGAAGAAAAATGGCTGTCTTTGTGACATGGATCTGATTCAGCCCTTCAGCTTATCTAGATGGATTTTATTTTTGCCCAAAACACACTTTGAAATTGGTTGCAATCCAAGCATAATAGCTCCTCTCTCGAATCGTTATAATTTCTACCCATTGCTGATTTGCTTTGGGAGTTACATTTTAGGGTATTGGATTACCTCTCTATATCCCTTCTTATGAATACCTTTTCGGAACTTGGAATCTTCGCATTTGCACTCCACTGCATTTCGTTTTTTCTTTCTTTCAGTTCACTCTCCGAAGCAGTCCCCTCCTCCGACTCATCCAGTCAGTCAGACAGGGTGACTGCTTCCGACCCAGCTAGGATCGAGGCTCCAATCACCCCCGTCTCCTCTGCCCCACCCAAATCAACTCCTACCCAAGAATACGACATCTACTCAGCCGTGTTAGCTGTGGCCAGTCCAACCTGCCTGCAGAGTTCCGCCAACGAAGCGGCGAAAAGCCGTTCTGGTAAGTTTTGTGTCTAAACTGCTCTCAACAGCTAATCTTAAAAGGCTGCAATGTTTAATACTTTGAGAAAGTTCACCAACGCTCCTCTGTGTGTGCTCTCCTATCTGTTGCCAACACGAATGCAATTTTTTCTCCATTGCAATTGGTTTTTTGCTGGGTTGATGTGACACTGATAAGGGCACCGAAAATCCCTCTTTAAGCTTACGCAATCTATGCCTTTATTCATGAGCGGGAATCTAACTCAAATAGTCTCGCCTTCCTATCAGGAAGGCGGAAAAGCCATATAGGAAATGGCGTTGATGCGCTTTAACTGAGTCTGGGCGAACTTTTACTGTAAAGGAAGTGTCAACTATCCCTCTGGTTAGCTGGCATCAATCCCACTTACTTTGTGTGCGTGACTACATCCCCAATTCATTAAGGTTTAAAAAATTACCACTACGTGTAACTGCATTATAAAGTTGGTTCTCAACCTCAGAAACTCCATTGAGACAGGATCGTCACGCTGCTTTGAACAAACAACTTTCGCCGTAAGCACTTTTCTAGTCGGTTTGATCCCATGTAATGTATAGTAATCCGGTCAATAAATGTTCAATGATATGATCGTAGAATAGTACCTTATCGGCAAGAATCACAGTGAGTGTAATGCCCATGAGCTCTCGAACGACTCATATTTCTCCTAGTTATTTGTAAGACCGATGTTAAGCAGTTTGAAATCACACTGCATTTGTAATTGTAGAATCTGGAGCATCTTTCAGTCTCTCCTCTCGGCCTAAGGAGGACATCTCTCAATGGCCACCCACCTCCTTCCCCTTCATCAAGGCTCTTCGACCTGCCTGTGTGCTTTGTGAGGGTCCCGTCAACCGCAAGACTGTCGGCCGTCTCATCCCTCCGGGGCTGGAGCAGGCCACCAGTGCGCTGATGAACTTGAGCACCTTCAGCGACGACGGCTCCAACTCTCCTTGTCTTTTCCCCACCTCTTTCACCCCTCCACTTCCGCCGCCGACCGCACAGCCGCAGCAAAGATATCCTCGAAATGCCTCTTGGAGGCCCTTCTGGACGGCTCTCGTCGTGATGGAGGGCTGGGCTTCTGCCTACATGGTCTACTTCGACGCTGTGGCGAAGAAGCCCTACCGACGTGAGGATGTAAGCTGTCGCTTCTTTTCAAAATGCCCTATAGACTTCCATCCATATGTAACCAGGTCAATTCACTCAGTATCCACCAGCATTAAGAGAGTGATTCGATTTCTAGGACTCATTTTCCGGTGAATTAATTAACTAATCTTTAGCACTTCTGTTACCCTCTTAAGTTGGTATTAATGAAGCTGCAGATTCATTTGAGGAGTTAAAATTACCAACATTGAAAAACGCAAAGCAGCATTGTGTTTGCGTACTTACCTACTTCTGTCGATGTTTTTCATTGCTCGCTCGTGATATTTTTAGTTCGCAGCCGGACGATGTCAAATTCAGCCGTTCCAGCAATGTCCCATAGACGGAGGGAAGGTGAATTGCCCGCCGAATATTGGTTTGGCGCGTCACCGCAACGGCATAGTGGACGAGACCTCCTTCCTACTGACGCACCCGGGCCTCCACAAGACCTACCGCCTGCGTCCCATCGCCCGACGAGGTGATCCTGCGGTGGAGGCTACCGGCGGCGGGGGTGACGACAGTCCCCATACTCCCACCCCGCAACGACGTGATTCCCGACTCTTCTTCACTCTCTCGCGCAAAAATTCCGTCACTACCGTTTCTACTACTCCTACGCACACCCCACCTCCGTCTGCCTCGTTGCGAGGTTGGGGCACCTCCGCTCCCATTTTGGCTGCCGCTGCCTCGCAAGCCCCGACTGACCTCTCGATGCGGCCGATGCCCACCGTTGAAGACTGGCTCCATGCTCTCCAGGCCACACTCGACCATCTCCAGTCATGATTCAGCACCCCGTCCCACCCCCACTTCTTTTATCCCCCAAATATACTGATGCGCTCATAATCGTCGTTGTTGTGTACGTATGCATCGCGTGTATGGGCGTGGAACTAGCACGCTCATGCACAGCCACTTTGATCTCTTGTGTGCACTTCTTTAAACCCTGTCACGCTCTCCGTGCATCTGCATTCGTCATCCCCTACCCCTTCCACTCTTTGGCCTGTGCTTGCGATTCTTCTTTTGACTCGCTAAACCCATCAGCTTCTGCAGCCGCCTTTGAAATAAAATTAACAAAACGTGTACTCGGTGTGATTACTGGCGCTTTGATTCCGATTGGGGACGGGAAGGGTGACAACATGTACCTCTCATTGAGTTATCCTTTTTAAATAGGCGAATGTGGTTTACTGCGCTCGTGGACGTGAGGTGACCCCCAACTTCGCTCTCATTTCTCCAGGAGCGCGCGCTTGATGTCTTTCAGGCGGTTACAAACCCGGCTGAGCGATATGTCAACTGATGTTTGGTGCAAACAACGTGATACCGTCAAGGTGAAACCGTTTTTACATGGCACGAAGAGCAGCATTTACATCCATGGGTAGCGTCATGGGACGCTTGTACACTGAAATAATTATTTTTGTAGAAATGCCGTTACTATGCCATCATGTGTATTTGGCACATCATCATAACCACTCTCATGCAGAATGAACCTCACTGAGAGGTCTGATGTGCACATGAACTAACCCGATTGTGTGAAGAAGTTGAATTCCCCTCGCTTGGTTCCGGATATGCATCTAACGTGGTGGACGCTGCGTTGCTACCCTAAGTGCGCGATGTTGGAGTTTGAAATTAAAAAATCAGTGTTTAGTTTAGCAGAAAAAGCGCCACAGCACGAAAATTTGATAGGTAGGCACTCAGCGTCAGGTGAGAGTCTGCTTAAACTAACTCCTGGAGAGCGACAGGAACGAAACCCACAGGATTAGTAAGCACTCAGGATGGATGTACATGAACCACCCTCGCATTCCCGCTAAAGCTCTTGACTTTGGTTAACCCCTCCACCTATTTCACAATGACGTTGAAAAAAAATCACGCAATAAATGGACCTTCAGAGCAAATACTTTTGACGTTTACAAAAGACTAGTCATTTCAGGAACCAATATGCGTATCCACACATAAAGTAACCCATGACTGTCAGCAGAAGAATTCTAAGAAAGCCTAAAGCTTTAACCGTAGCTGGTTTGTTTTCCTAGAAAAAAACTTTTCATTACAAAGACTTGATAGAAACCCAACTCAAGTACATGGAAAGCGAGCACTATCAGTTTGCACGACTTAATAAACACCTCATTGTAGACATTGTGTTAAGTCAACCGTGATAAAGCGTAAACTGATGACTGAATTTAACAAATAAAGAGCCGGCGATTCACGCAGTGATATGACGGCTAAAACTGATTTCCATCACTCTATTGCCAAACAATACTCAATAGAATATTCATCAACAAAAGTTTAATCAGTAGCATAAATAAAAGGACTAATTGAGGTCATTAGGAGGTGGAAAGAACCAATACTTGAAGGATGATCCACACTCTTGGTAACTCATTAATGCATGTGCGGCCTAATTACTTGTTTTCATATCAATCAAGTTTAATGAAGGGTCACAAAATCAGAAGAAAAGCCAGTACATCCACATTCCCAGCGTGAGAGCTCCCAACGAAAACCTTAATGAGTAAAGTAGAAAAGTCATGGCAACGAGGAGAATGGTTTCATGGGCATTTAATTCGTACGCGGACTCACCACGTGATGATGTACTCTGTGTGAGTGTTTCGTAGGAGCACTTTTGTCTGACCTCCAATTGGCCCACCTTTGACAGTCGACGCTGAAATTATGACAGTTGAAGTAACACAGGATTGTCTACTTAAACTGCCAATAAGTAGGAGGAAACTCACCATAATCGGCATCAATGAAAATGGGCAAGGTGTTAAGCGTTTCTGATATTCGGATGACTTCTCGAGAAAAATACTGTCGATGGGGTTCCTGGTCCTTTCCCGCGTTACTCATAGTCTTCGGATCAGGGGTGAATGGAGGAGGCTAAACCAATGCAATCATTCGTAGTGCGGTAAACCTTTTCGTTGTAGCGAATAAAACCGGTAATTTTTACGGTACCCTGAATTTGACCGTCAGGACGAGTGATAGGGTCTCTAAGAGCTGTAGGCACCCATCCCCGATTAACTAAAATGAACACACTTAACAATGAATCAGAGTCGATCATGGTTGACAGCAGTACTCACCTTGGCCGATCCTTAATTTCAAACGGAGTCACAACGCAGTAACCGTTTGGTGCAGGCGCTCCAAAATTACTGAGATTCGATTCTTTCATATGATGCTCAGCGGAAGGCCTCGAGCCCCAGGCGCTGCCGTAGGCCCCGGTAGGAATGTCGTCCGTGATGATAGCGCGAGGACCGACAATCACTTCGCGTGAGTGATCGAATCGACCCTCCACTGTAATAGGTTGGAATTCGGGTAGGTCGATACTCGCTTTTACGCTATATAAAACAGTTTAATATATCCCAAATTCTACTCTTCTGCAAGAGGAATCGGTGGGGAAGGCATAATCTTCTCAATTTTCTCTATAAGATCAAGTTTCCACCTTCGCCTTTGAATTTGCCAGTAGCCAAGACTAAAAGCTGTAATTGGGCATAGCTGAGTGGGGAAAATGCATTGCAAAGGCGAGAAACTTACCAGAAGGAGAAAGTGGCGAGGGTTCAACTTTTTATCCGACTCTTCATTTGCAGTACCAACATACCTAACAAGATGACACGGCCTTTGAAAGCGTGGAAGATGGCGAATTAAAGTGCCGGATAGGCTGTTCATACCTAAAGCACAAATGACTCGCAGTAATCAATCTAACTGCTACTACAAGGAAAAACCACCCAAGGCTGAACTGTACACTGACAATCCAGCCCGCTCTATGAACAATGGTGTTGGGTAGGCGATACGCATTGAGTATGTTCATGAGGCGAAATAAGCAACGGTCAGACTGTTAAAGACGAAGTAGTTCAAAAAAGTTCTAGCAAGTCTAGATGATTACCAAGTGGGTTCTAAGATCACTATGGAGATTGAGCGCAAAACAAGTACCATACAAGCTTGGAGACATAGGCTACATGGCAATTTGCGGAAAACAGTGACACTGGTGGAATGTACTCTTCACGCAAAATGTACTGTTTTAGACTTGGTTCATGACTAGCACAGTCCTCGGTGACTTGTATTAATTTAAATAGCAAAAATGTTAGTGATAGCTCAATAAAATTATGAGTCTAGGAAACCATGCCAGGCAACGCGTTTACGAGCCGACAGACACAAACTACACAAATTTTCATGTGCCATCCGTATCGCACAAACTCGTCATAAGAAATCGCGTTGTATTCAGAATGTTACCATACACAAACCGTGATAACTGAGGCAAAAACAGAACGGAGCACCAAACTGTGCGCATGGGCCAATAGATTTGAAAAGGCTAAGTATTAATATATACTGTGGTTTTTGCACTATGTTAAGTTTCAACTTTATCTACTGCTTCGTCACTTGGTATGACGGTGATTGGGGAAAAAAATGATACATAATTTGATTGTGCCTACATACTTAACGTTGAGCACAAATGTTATCCTCTGTGATGAACCATTTTTACCACCTGTCGCCCTATTAAAGCATCGGTGATTTTAATGTAAGAATGACTTGAACAGTGAATCCTTACCACTTGCTTCTTATGCTCTACTCTACTTTGGGCGTTCCTTCATGGATATTGCGCCAGCCCAACCATGTACCCAACCAAGACCACCGGCCACAGCACCCCGGACAGAACAAACCCCAACCCGACTCAAGAACAACCGTAAACACCTCCCACCCCAGATCTGCCACCACTCCCACGCCATACATCCTACACGACGCACCACCCCGCCGACGGTACCCAGAAGCGGACACGCCCGGACGCAAGCACCCCAGACCCCCTCGGGCTCGTCGTAAAGCCCTACAGGCGCCCAAGCAAGGCCGTCACCGTCCCCCACCCCCAACGGTTACTAAGGTTTTTTTTTTCGCAGCCCAGGACAAAACAAAAATAAAGCGTTTTTGCACAATATGTACACATCTACACAATTCAGTGACGGTGAGCCCTATCACGATCCTTGCCACTACGTTTGCGGTCTAAAAAAGTGACGTATTTAGTGAACAAATAACGTTAATTTATGAGGAATGAAAACCAACACTTACCTGAAGAGTCCTCTCGGTCACCACGCCGCCGATCCCGTGAACGACTTCGACTTCGTCTTAAAAAATTAATGTAAACTTAGATAGAGCCCAGATGGGATAGTTCGAAGATCACATCAGATACTGCAGCTAGACATGTGCTATCTACTACAAAACATGGTTTTGAGTAAACCAATCTATTACACACATTTAATGGAGGAAAAACTGCTTTAATTTGTGGCCGGTAATGAATAATAAATAAAAATAATCTTTGACAAATATGAGTGCTATATGAGGGGAAATGAATATTTTTGATCGCTAACGGAAACAGGTGTCGCTAAAGTGAAAAATGGTAAGGCTAAGCATCTAACGGAGCAAAGTGAATAAACAGTAAGAAATAGTGAAAGTTAATGTGCCTATTTGGAAAAGAACACGAGGATTCTCATGATAAGAGGCACAAACAGCTATTTACCGTCGTCTATCCCGTTTATCCCTCTCGTCTCGCTCACGTCGTCTATCGTAGTCATGATCGCGATCGTGATTGCGATAGGGCAGCTCTTCACGATGACGGTGTTTACGATGTCGCCTGCTCTCCTCCTCATCCTCCTGGTCGCGATGTCTTTCACGTTTCTGATCCCTTCGTTCCTTGTCTTCCTGCTGGTCAATCTCCTGCGAGGCTTCAAGTTCCTCGTTGATGTTGATGTCCTCCAAATCCTCATCAAGAATTGACTGGCGCGGCTCAAGGGCATTATTATCCTCGAGAACAGAGCGTTTTTGAAGCCGTGGCAAGATGACATCACACACCCGTTCTTCGTTAAGGAGTTGGTCAATGAATTCATCCATGCGCACTATAGAGAATTCTGATCAGGAATTTAATTAATGGTTAATTAGGCAAACATACTGCCCGTGGTGTCTTGCTGTTTTAATTTGCGGAAGTCATTATAAAGAGCTTCCAAATACTTGTATATTTCCACCGATTCCCCCACAAGGCGCAGGTAAAATGCACCAAGTGCTCTTGCATATCTAGAAAATCTCCCTCAAAACAGGTCAATACTTGTAGTCTTCTTGCTTAATAAACTCGATGACAATATCTTTGTCGGGCTGAATTTGGAGCATCTTCAAAACAAGACAGATAAAAGGAGTCGGTTTGGTTAGACCTCCGTATGTGCCCCCAATGTACTTCAACTCTACAGCCTTATCAACAAGGAGCTCGGCTGAATAGTAGAAATTACATAACAGTCCTACATGTTAGAGCAAAACAGTGCTCTTTCCAAAACTGGCACTCATATATTCGGCTCCTTATGATTTTTTCTACCAAATACTGCGGATTAGTACCATGAAGGGTATGGGCATCTTTGACGGTCCGGTTAGCCATCACAATACACCACAAGCCCGACTTTAAAACAGCTATGTACTAACACCCAATCAAATTAAGAGACCACGTGGGGTCATATATGTGGATAATCCAAATGCTCTTGGGAAGCTAAAATACCAAAAACTGAGTGAGCGTTTTATTATCCTTACATGGAATAGTTTAAAATTATTTTTGTTGTTATGAAACAGTGTTAAGGGCAAATGCAGGGTGACCGTTTTGTGATAAGATGGCAGCTTGCGATTTTCCCAAAATTTCCTCGTGAAAATAAAGTAAATTTATCAAATAACACTGCACAAAATTTAACTTTGATTTATGAATTTAAAAATGGGCTGTAAAAAGAAGTTGGTTACTGATTTGGTGGAGTTTTTGACTTTGAATAACGTAGCGCTCGGTGACTGCCATGAAGTCGAAAGGCCCCATAGTGCTCAAGCAGGATATGCACTATCTAAGCACCAAGAGGTTGGTGGCTACTGACATGGCCCAGAGGTCAGTCCGTCTTTAAAATATACAATGATGGAGCCCCTAATTGGCCCGTTACCAAACCCGAGAATTAAACGCACAATCAACGCATTGCAATAAGATCACTTGTATAGCCATCTGTGATAAATGTTTGTTTTGCCTCAATTATATCTGGTCACTTATTAAATGTCTTTTTCCTAGAACTAGCGCTCTACTTGCTCGTCTGAATACAACTCTGGGTGGGTTGCATGCGTATTGGACCGACCTCGATACTGAGAGTTGGCCGCCAATCTCCATGGGGAGAAAGACTGCTTTTACCGTAAAGCTTTGTAGCACTGCAGGGCTTCACAAGCTGTCAATACGTGACGCCTTTCTCCGACCAGCCCTCTGTATCTCGGGTCTGAAACCGGTGGAAGAAGGTAAAACAACGGGAATATTAAGTTCGTTTATACGGCCTTAATTTGCTTTTATTCAATTTGTGACTCTTTTCATGGTAGGATAATCAAACGCAGGTGAACGAAGTTCTTTAGTGGGGAAACAGTACCTTAATCTTATATCGAAAAGTAAACTGTGGTTATACCTGAAGAAATAATCCACCGTGTTTGGTTATTTATCCACTAACATAAGTTGGCCGCATAGTCGTTGCATGCATTAATAAAAATGAAAGTGAGAATAGCTTTACGACTGATACAAATTTACGCAATACTGGGATGTAGCGTCCCGAGACTCCCTGAAGACGAAAGAAGACAAAATACTCGGGCAGAATATATATATTCAGCACGGAGAAGGTGTCTGGGCTATTGGCATGGCCCAAAAGGCCAGCCCACCCAGCGAGGTACAAGGGGGCTAGTTCGAAGTACAAAAGTGGCGCCTCACCAGAACCGAGGAATAAACCACTATCGTATTACAGGGATGCATTCCTACAACACCATTTAACACGAGTGCAGCGCCTCGAGTCACGGCCAAGGTCGTAATAGGCCAAAGTGGTATCGAAGACACTTTCTTAAATGTAAAGAAGAGCTGGTAGACCATTAGTCACCTAAAAGTGGAATCCGATTTGAGGCACCAATTCACCTTTCCATTGAAATCGTAAATGACAAATTATACTTCAGTTAGTCAAATTCTAGTGATCTTAATAGCGGAATTTTTGACGAGTTTACCATTTCAATAATCTACGACGATTTGGCACTACATAAAGGACTAAAGAAAATGTGCATAAGGGATATTAGGTAAAATCCCCACATTTTTCCAAGCCTTGAAGCAATGTTGTGTACCTACAACCACTGAACGATTTGACATACATGATGAAATAAATAAAGCAAATTATGTATAGCTCGGATACATTAACTAAAATATGGATAGTTAAAAGATAGAAGAGTTCGGTTTCCGTTTGGTGACTGTTATCAGGTAACCAAAATCCACCACACTTTTTGAAATATGGGAGTGACTCAAGCAGACCATTATAAAGTGCATATTCTGTGCGGAATATCAATGTGATTATTGGATTGTAATGCGTTCCAGTAATACCAATTTTGCCTTTAATTTAGCTACGTCGTTCTCTGATTATTCTTATTTCTAGTCGAGTTTGCCAAATCACTTGGCTACAAGTAAATTTGTTGTCCAATGGATTATATACATCATTATTTAAGTTCTTGGGATTATTAGAAACTGGGCGGACATAATAGTGGACATTAAAATAAGACGAAACGTTGCAACTGTCTTACGGTAGTTGTAATACCTTAATTGTAGCGTCCCAGGACTCCCTGAAGACGTAAGAAGACAAAATACTCGGGAAGAATATATATTCAGCACGGAGAAGGTATCTGGGCTATTGGCATGGCCCAAAAGGCCAGCCCACCCAGCGAGGTACAAGGGGCCTCATTCAAAGTACAAAAGTGGCGCCTCACCAGTGCCGAGAGATAAACCACTATCGTATTACATAATTGTTTGCTAAATTCCGGTTATGGAAAGGGGCAAATTAGGGGCTCCGCCCTTTT